GCCCACCCGGCCAGGATGCCGGGGGTAGGGAAGGCTGGCCGGTCCCTGGGACTGCCGCGTGTCTTCTCCTTCTGTTTGTTCTTGCACAGCTCCTCGGCTCAGATCCGGTACAGCATCCCGGAGGAGCTCACCCGGGGCGCCTTCGTGGGCAATATTGCGAAGGACCTGGGCACTGATGTGGGGAAACTGGCAGCAGCCAACCTGCAGGTACTGTCTGATTCGGATTCCCAGTACTTCTCTGTCAACGTGAACACCGGGGTGATAATGGTCAGTGAGCGGATAGACCGGGAGCAGCTCTGTGGGCAGAACCCCCGCTGCTTCCTCCACCTGAAACTTGCCATCGAGAACCCAGTGGAGTTTTATCGCATTGAGGTGGAGATCCTGGATGTCAATGACAACCCCCCGGAGTTCCCCAGTGATGAGGTTTCCTTGCGCATCTACGAGCTGGCCTCCCTGGGTGCCCGCTTCCCCATCCAGCCTGCCCAGGACCCCGATGTGGGCACCAACACCTTGCAGACCTATCACCTGAGTGCCAACGAGAACTTCAACCTCAATGTGAAGGCACGCACGGATGGTGGCAAATTTCCTGAGCTGGTGCTGGAGAAGGCCCTGGATCGGGAGCTCAGAGCCTTCCACCACCTGGTTCTGACTGCTGAAGATGGGGGTTCTCCTCCTCAGTCCAGTAAGATACGCATTACTATTCAGGTCCTGGATGCCAATGACAACCACCCTGTCTTTGACAGACCATCATATGGAGCCCGCTTGGTGGAGAACTCACCACTGGGCACCCTTGTGGTGAAGTTAAATGCCACCGACGTGGATGAAGGGCCCAATGGAGAGATCCGCTACTCCCTCAGCAGTCACAACTCAGCTACCCTACGCCAGATCTTTGCCATCGATGAGCAAACTGGGGAGATTCGTGTCCAGGGTAACCTGGACTTTGAGGAGGCAACAGTGTATGAGATTGAAGTGGAGGCCAAGGACATGGGGTCACCCACAATGGAGGAGCACTGCAGCGTGTTGGTGGAAATCACCGACGTGAATGACAACGCCCCTGAGGTCATTCTTACCTCCTTCTCCAGCTCCCTGAGCGAGGATGCACCCCCGGGCACAGTGGTGGCTGTGATACACGTCAGAGACAGGGACTCTGGTGATCAGGGCAAGGTCCAGTGCCACGTGCCTCCAGATCTTCCCTTCCGGCTGCGCAAGGACTACGAGCACCAGTACTCACTGCTAACCAGCACCCGTTTGGACCGGGAGCATGTTGCCTACTACAATGTCACCATCTCTGCCTCGGACCTGGGCAGTCCCCCACTCTCCCGCTACACCACCTTGCCAATCACCCTGACAGATGTCAATGACAACGTGCCCCAATTTGAGCAAGCATCCTATGAGGTGCTGGTGGCAGAAAACAACCCTGTGGGCAGTGTGTTGGTTACAGTTTCTGCTACTGACCCGGATTCGGAGCAGAATTCCCGCCTCTCCTACTCCATCCTGCGAGCTGGTGGGACAGATCCAGGACTGGATCCGACTCGCTACCTCTCCATACATCCCACAAGTGGGCAGGTCTCTGCCAAACTCCCTTTTGACTATGAGCAAACCACTTATCTCCAGTTCCATGTGGAGGTCTCTGATGGTGGCTCCCCGGCCCTGAGGAACAGGACACTGGTTCATGTTTTCATAGTGGACCAGAATGACAATGCCCCACAGGTGCATTTCCCCCGGGCCGGGGAGGACTCTGCTACCCAGTTCCACATCTCCCCCTCCATCACCCCTCCTGCTCTCATCACCAAGGTGATGGCAATAGATGCGGACTCGGGGCGCAATGCCTGGCTCTCCTACCACCTCATGGAAGCCACGGACCCGGGGCTTTTCAGCGTGGCCCTGCGCTCCGGGGAGATCCGGATCACTCGGGTCCTGCAGGAGACAGATCCCTCTGCACATGAACTGCAGGTGGTGGTCCGGGATGCTGGGGACCCACCCCTCTCCGCAGCCATCACGCTGGTGGTGCTGGTGGAGGAGAAGGGTCCAGAGGCTTTGCAGGGCTCCGAGGCTCGGGCCACCGACGTGGGGGGGTTACCCACGGTTACGCTTTATCTGATCGTGTCCCTGGTGCTCATCTCCACGGTCTCGCTGGTGGGACTGGCAGTGCTGGGCGTGCGGTGCCTCCGGAAGGGCTCTGCTCCTGCCAACCAGGGCTGCTGCGTGGAGAGCGTGAACACCCTTCAGCCCCCTCCCAGCCACATTTTTGGGCATTTGCACTATGAACCAAAGCAAGGGGACACGGTGATGGGCGTCCAGGTGACGGCCACGGCCCCCCCCGCCCCGCGTTACCGCTCCTGCTTTTCGCCCGTCTCGGACATCAGCGAGTTCATGTTTGTGAAACCCTCGGCGGGGGCCCCCCACCCCCCC